GCCCATATTAGGGAAGTTCTCCTTGATTATTTCTGTGAATAGCCTTTGCAGTTCATTTGTTTGTATCCCTGCTTCTTCCTTTACATTCTTAATTCTTAAGTCACAGATCCTCTTATCATCTTCTAGCCTTTGTATTGTTACTGCTTATTTCCTTGTTGTTTTTAAGAAATTTTTCCTTTCATGCTCCCACATTACAAATCTGTCTTCCAGTTCAGATAATCTATCCTTAGTTTCTTTCAAGCTGTTATGCCAGCTTTCAATAGTGTTTTTACTTTCCTGGCAATCTCTTTGATCCTGCTTCATGTATTCTACGTTTTCTCTATTTTCTCCATCAAACAATCCCCCCCCCCTTTTTTTTGTTCTTCCATTCCACCATCTGTTTTGTCTTGGGAGGTGCTTAGCATTTCTTTAACTATTCTACTTATATCTTGCTTTACTTGGTTAAATACTTCACTTTTGAACTCGTCTATAATGTCCCAGAAATAGTGCCTTATGTCTATTGGTGCCATGCCTGATATTGTTTTCTGTCCCCATTCTCCTTTGCATTTACCTTTGCTGGATCAGTGTTCTCAGGATTGGGGACTGCGGACCCTCTTTTGTTGCTCCCTCTTCCCATACTTTTTGTTCCTTCCATACAAGCTTATATAGGAGGCCCAGTTTCTTTCTTTGTCGGTAACAGTTTGTTTCAATTGCACCGGCTTGGTGTGCCCGCCCACTGCGGTGTACTAGGGAGACACAGACCTGGGCAGGCTATGCTGGGCCCACCCCTCCAGGTCATTCAACCTGCTGAAGGCTTCACTGCATTAGGGTGCACTGTCAGGTACAGAGAGCTGGTTTGGGTTAGCCTATTGTGTCTTAGTCTGTGGCATCACCCAGGTCAAGCGCTCTCCACCAATCCCGCTTGAGAGGGGAATATGCAACTAAAGTCACTGCAGTGTCCTGTTCCAGCTAGTCTGCCTGGTCCCAGAATGTCCTTTGTTGGAGCCTCCTATCTATGGAAGGGTCCCCCATTCCTGTCACTCACCGCAGGTCGATGCAGAGCTCCCCGCCAGCTCTGCTCTCAGTTCAGTTTGCCGATTCCCACTCTCAGAGCTTTTGCGTCTCTATCCCTGCTGTGCCAATCCAGGTGCAGCAGCAGTAGCAGGAAAATTCAAGCTGTGGTTTCCAGTGGTGTGGGTTCCAGCTTCAGCATTGAGACTTTAGCTGTTCCAGTCATAGCACCAGTACTGCATTTCCAGTTGGTGTGTCTCAGCTTAGCTTGTTCCTGGGTTGGCAGGGTATATCTCCCCCTGCTTAGGACTCCCCACACCACACCATTCCTGGAATCTAAGCTGGCTGTCTCAGAGAGCCTCGGTAGCTGATGTTATCTGTCCGCCATGTTCTCCCAGCGAATAACACACTCTTGAGCAATCAGTGGGTCACAAGGGATATTAAAGAAGAAATTAAACAATACCTACAAAGAAGAGCCCAAGCCCAGACGAATTCACTGTGGAATTCTCATAGATCTAGAGAAATCACTCCTCAAATTCATCTGGAACCAGAAGAGACTTGGGACTTCTGTCTCTCTCTCTCTCTCTCTCTCTCTCTCTCTCTCTCTCTCTCTCTCTCACAGAGGCTTTCTTTTTCTCAATAAATATATTCTCATCACTTTCACAAATCTTCAGCTCATCATCTTCTAGTGAAAAGGAAACCAGGTTCCAAGTCTCCCAGGGCTGGTATCTGCCTGGTGTTGTTTGCTCTTGAGTCAAATGTGGCAACAATTCTTAGAGCGGGAAGTCCCAAAGCAGTGTGCAGAGAGCGAAGGAACAAACAGAACTGTCTGGATGGCAGCAGGTCTTAGCAGAGGTGAACACTGCGTAGAAAATATGTGGTTTCTTTAGCTGCAGCACTGAAGCCAAAGCCTGCCAACTTTTCACTGTACTGAGCCCCACTACCCCTTCCTTTTCTCTAGCAGTCACTTGTGCCCTCTTTCTGTACAGTGCCAAGGAGATATTACTGTGTAGGCAGGGTTGTAAGGTACAGTCACTTAAACATAAATATGGTTATATTGTTTAAATGTTTTGTTTAAAAAAACAGCAAGGAAGTTACAAATTCATCTAAGATCATGTGTCAAAGGACTATCTTTAACTTATTATTAGTTAGAATGGTGTGTATTATAATTAATTATACTTTGAATGTCAAGAGGAACCTAGATACTTTGCAAATTTGACTTTTTAATATTTTGTAATGGTAACTGAACTGGGCCACAATGGAAAAGCACTTTACCTTGTTCAGAGCAATCTTCTACTGATCTATCTTTGCTGTTTTACTTTAAAAAATCAATACAGGACTTTTGAAATCTATTCAAAATTTCTTTGTGAAACTCTTCTTTGGAGGAAGTGTAACCATGGAATAATTTAATGAGTTATCATTGTGGTAATGTTCCTTACTTCAAATGTTATTTGAGGGAAAAATTTCCATGGAACTTTTAAGATAAAGTTAGGTTAAAATATTCCAAAGGGAATCCTTTTCAGCCCAGCTTACCTAATGAATGGGCTGATTTCTGAGAACGCCCACTTTCAAGCTCTACTTGTGCTCCACATCCTGCTCCACAGTGCACAAAGATGCGGTCATTGTGCCTTAGGCACAGAACTGCTAAGGCTTTGTGTTGACATATGATACAGCATTCTGTACAAGACTATGGTGGCATCTCTTTGACTGTCCATTGCAATCTCCAGAAAATTATGAAGATAGTTTTCTGCCTTCTGTAGATATAACAAGTAAAACCTTGCCAATGAGACACATCTCACTATAGTTAGAACTTTTAGGAGTGACTTTTAAACACCTCCTTTGAAAATCAATTTATTAATCAGATGGGTTAATCAAAGGTCCTCACTAAATCATTTTAATAAATGGAATCGTACAAGGTACAGCAGACGGCAGGTCATCAATATATAAAAATCTTCAAGGATGATTTAGGTATTCAACTTACGAAAAAATGTCTCAAACTTTGGAATAGCTATAAAGAAATAAACTTAAACACACTTATAAAAGTGAGAAAAATATTTTATCAAAAAATACATTGTGATAGCTTATATGATTACTATGAGAAAAAGTAACAGCTTGTGTCAGAGAATCCATTTATGTATTTTGCTGCCCTCTACTGGAGGCATTAGTCTGAGTCCCAGCTCCAACTGAAAACTTCTGTGTGATAGAAATTCAGTCTCAGTGCCCTTCAAACTACTAAAGAAAAATGCAAGACTATAAACCCCAAAGCTTTTGTGTTGCTTTCTCCTAAGCTATCTGTCTTGCACTGTAGATCAAGATTATCAAAATCTGGCCCAGACAGTAATAACCTAGTTATTTTACTCTTAAGTAAAATTTTGAGAATTTTGTTCTGAAAGCAAAGAATCAGATTAACTTTATCCAGTGTCAGGAACACAAATATAAAATAAACCTTTAAGTTTTTTTTAATGTTTTGTTCTCCCAATTAGCAGACTCTTCAATGTCTATGTGGTTTTAATAAACTGTATGACTTTATTCCGCTGATGAATTTGTTGTATCTTATTCTATCCTCCTCCTGCTATGAGCTAAAGTATCATTAATATAACTCATTTAACAAATAAAGAAATTTAAGCCCAATGAGGCAAATAGGCCTTCTGAAGACTTGCAGCTAGGAAGAGAAAGTAGGAACTGAACTCATGATCTTGATGACGACTTGTAACATGGCTTGCATGGAACACGGTGCTGAGGTCAGTCACAGTGCAAACATATGCTTGCAGAGAAATTCACTTTCTTATGCATTTTTAAAAATTGATGTGTTATGGGTGATTCCAAAATGTGTCCAAGGCAAAAGTATGTTGGAACATAATGCATATCATGATAAATTACCAAAATATTTCATTTTGAGGCACTAATTTTAAAAAACAGACATAATGAAAGTGAATGTGGTTTATATCCCATAGGTTTTATTGTTTTTATAATTCTCCATGCTTTCTCTAAGCATCCAGATCTTGCTCATTTTTTCTACATTTACATGATTTGGCTAGGTATGTGACTACTAGCTTTTTAATTCTCAACTTATACTTCTTTAGGGAACATTTCCCTACTGTCATTTGCATTAGTCAGCTTGGGCCACCATAACAAAATATTACATACAGGGTAGCACAAGAAACAGAGCTTTTTTTTGTTCTAAAGGGAAGCTTGAGTTCGGGGGGCATCATGCTAGGTTCTGGAGAAAGCCCTCTCCCAGGTGGCAGAGCTGCTTGCTGGCTATATTCTCCTGTGAAGAGGAAAGAAACCAGGCACAGAGGGAGGGCAAGCTTGTCTGCTTCTTATAAATTCATGAGTCATTTCCGATCTGGTTAGGATCCACCCTCATGATCTTAGTTAATTTTAACTATATCCTAAAACCCTTATCTCCAAATAAAAACACATCATGGGGTAAAACTTCAACAAATGAATTGGAGGTAGCACCCAATTTTGTCCATGACATCATCTTATATATTTGTACAGCCTTTCTTTCTTTGAATGCATTTGAATCACCCATTTTCTGGCCTGCGTCTCACTAGGCATGAGCTCCCTCAGGCCATATTCTACCTACACTGCCGCTGAGTCTCTGGCACTTAATAGCTATGCAATAAATGCTGCTTGGATCAATGAAGGAATGATATCAACTGCTATATTTTGCTTCATTACAAGGTAGAATTAAATGCCTTAATGAGAAAAGGCAGAGTAGGACCAATAAACCTAAGCAGAGAAATGGCACTTTGCTGGAGGTGAACATGGAAACAAACTATGCTTACTCAGCTACTGAGACCAAGGACCTCAATCTCCTTGAAAAACCTCAGCAGGTGCCAGAATGAAAGCAGATGCACACAACTCAATGCCTATATCCTTGTCCAGATGAACTGACAGTTTCAGAGCTGGAAGACAATCTAATGATTGTATCTATTGAGCAAATGACAATGTGACATGGATAATGTACTCACCTATCAGTTAAAATTAAATGTAGAATACAATCAAGTTCATACAAAACTTTATTGCTCTCTGAATGACAAATATTGTAGCAAAAGCTTATGACACAGAAAAAATATCTCAAATTATTTTCCCTACAAAAGTTTTTAGTACAGTACACAAATCTTTTCACAATATTTTAGTCTGCTAGTGATACAAAACATACTAGGATTTGTTAAGTAACCATTTCTTTCAACCACGGCATTTACTGCCATTAGCTTTGCTACAATGAAAAATATAACAAGTACAACCATACAAACATAACAAGTGAAATGGAAAGGAAGGCATATGGCAAACATTCCAATCATTTAGCAAGTGTGAAGTCTTTAGTACTTCTGAACATACATTTTTTGAACATACATTTTTTAAATACATTGTACACTAAAAGATTTTTTTCTAAAACATTTTTATGTTAGATAGTTGTCATCATCTTCTGTGTAATGAATAATCTTCCATCCAATAATCATCATTTTAGAGTTTCAAATGAAATTAAAAAACACAGTACTCTTATTCAGAAGTGATACTGAAGACAATGAACAGCAAGCAGTCCACTAATTCCCTCATCCCTTGGTTCCAGGACCCCTTCCTGCCTTGAGAAAAGCAGATCTGCAGATGTCTATTTAACTCCCTCATCTAAAATGGTGTAGAACTTGGTCTAACCTCTGCACATCTTCCCATGTACTTTAAATCATCATCTCTAGAGTACTTTCACTACCTAAGACAATGTAAATGGTATGTAAATAGTTACACTGTATTATTTAGGGAACAATAATCAGGAAAAAGTCTGTACAGGTTTAAGATGAACACAATTTTTGAAATAAAAATTTGATCAGCAGTTGGCTGAATCTGTGGCTGGGTACCCACAGATCTATACAACTATATTCCCACTTATCCTAGCTGAATGTCAGTATTGGTCTTTATTCCACTGACCAGATAGTTTACAGCAAACATTGATCACACAAGCTATGAAGACAGAAAACATAAAATACACACAATGGACCAAGGATATAACTCAGGGGCACAGGCACTTGCCTGGCAAACACAAGGTCGTGAGTTCAATCCCTGGCACCAAAAAAAAAAAAAAAAGAAATAAAATCACATAGATATGAACTAGAACTCAGATCTCTACTGCATGGAGATTGGATGTGAATTATTTCACAGGGACTAAAACTAGTTATCAGGCAGAGATGAAATTTTATATTCAAAGTGGATTAAATGATGGATGTAAACCTTTGAGATTTAATGCTGTAATCTCAAGGTTTCAAATTATTGAGGAGCCTTTCAAATCAATATAGGTGATCTTTTATATATTTCCCCTATGAAAAAAGTAAAAACACCGAGGTACTTCAGTTTTTTTTTTTTTCCCCAATGGAAATGTTGTTTATCTTCCTGAGATGCAAAAGACCACAAAGCACCATGCCTAGGTCACTGAAGAAGGCAACAGATACTAATAGTTTGGTCCTTTTCTGAATGGATCCCTTCCGACAATGACACTCAAACACAGAGCTGGATCACAGATGCCAGGAGGGCCTGGCTGCCCCTGGAGCCCAGGCTTCCCATGATCCCCATCTTTTCCAGGGACACCGGGGTCTCCCGGAGGACCTTCTTTACTTGTTCCAGGTGGACCCTCTGGACCTGGGGCAGGACAGACATCAACAATGTGTGAATGCAGAATTCGCTCACTGACACTCAGACAAATGGTTCTGCAACAAATTTAACCTGAAAGAATCCCTTTTGAATATTTTACTCATTGCATTTTCTCTCTTGCTAATTCTACATACTTACTGAAAAGAATCATAAAAAGTAATCAATAATTTTTTATAAAAACAAGCTAAGCTTATTAATATAGCAGTCATGGTACCGATGAAACTGAGTTAACATTGTGGATTCTCCTAACTTATCACTCCTCTTCAGTCTAACGTTTGTCAATGTTTTATTAAATTAACATATGATAAGTCAAAGCTCTAGTGAAATCATTTTGTCCCATATTTGCAGTAAAAGTGATTATTTTCATTACAGATATATAATATGTAAGTAATATATAAATAATATATATGTGATAAATAATATATATTATATATGTTACTTAGATTCTACATCTAAATACATTGTCATTATCACAAGATACATTATTATAGGTTTAAAATAGTACTTTGTGAATCACAACCTAGTTACTTCAGCTAAATGCTCAAGGGAAGGTAATTTAATTTAGAACGATATTACTAAAATTTAAAAATTGATAATTCAAACAAAAACAAAGTATTTAGGTCTGGGGGCAGGGCAGAATAATTTGACGAACTACTCCTTACTATTAATATTGCTATTTCCAACAAGTAAATATTTATTTAGCACTAAAGCATGATTGTAGGTATTGTTTTACATGTTTGAGACAAATAGCATTAAATCATGTGATCCACTCAAAGCTTAATGAATTATCTAAAATACTAGTAGTAAATAGTTACTGAAAACATGCCTGTGATTACTGTTCTGTCATTCAGTAAGCCCATGACCCATGCTATTACCACCATCCTGTCACACACCAGGAAACTGAGCTGTGGCAAAATGAATACTACAGAAAGCAGCAGTTTCTTAAAATTTGCCATTAGTCTCACATTTTAACTCTTGGAAGAAGCACTATTCTGCTTCACTAAAGAGTCACAAAAATCAAGCAACATTATACTCTAGATAGACAGGGCTGACTAAAACCACTCCAACCACCAAAAAAACTAGAGATTAGACTAAAACATGACCCACAGAGTATCCTAAATGATTCACAAATACAGTATGAAAAGAACTACAGGAGCTAAACCTCAATATTTTAAGTGTGCTTCACTCGAAAAAGAAACAAATGTCTAGGTTTCAAATTATTTGACATAGGTTTTTAAAGATTTTGCTTAAAGCAAAATGTGCAGCAAGCTAAACAGGTTGATGTACACATGGAGTCCCAGAGGCTCAGGAGCTGAGGGAGGAGGACCACTTGACCCAGAAGCGCACCCTGGGTCCCAGATGCTGCCTAGCTCAGGGTGGAGGATCGCTTGACCCAGAAGTTCCAGAGCACACTGGCCAACTTAGGGAGACAAAAACAACAACATAAATGAACAGCAGTCCTTACCTGGGGGACCAGGAGGACCTTGTTCTCCAGGATACCCAAACCCTTGGTTCCCCTTTGCACCATTTTTTCCTGGAAGACCTGTGGAGTAGCAAATATTTGAGTAAACTGACTTTCCTGTGAAAATTCCTGGAGCACACTGTTCCAAAGTTGTTAATAGAAACATGAAAGAAAAATAAATATGTTTAAAAGTAGCTGATTATCACTTTTTTAAAATACCAATGTGAAACAAAATTTTTGAGCAAAAATTTCTAAATGTATCAGTGGTCTCTCAAAGAAAGACTTAATTGAATTAAATATTTTTAAAAACAATGGATACATATTATTGGTATAGTATGAAAATCATGTTTGTTTTTTTAATTATTCTCGTGAGACATCTGGATAGTTCATATAGCATTTGAACAGGAAAAATTATAGAGCAATATTTTACAGAAATTTCAAGGGTAAAGAGAAATAATTACAGTCTATTAGGAAGTTTTGTTACAGAACAATTTTTGCTCAAATAGAAGATAATTTTGAATAAGGGCAGAAAGTGATTAAATAGAATGAAAGAAAATAGTGTCTTGTGATTTTCCACATAGACTTTGTTGGACTCAAATCAAATGTCTGAAAGTATTGTTAACTTGGTAACTTCACGTGCTCATAATCTCTGCTTGAGAATTACTTCAAGAAAACAGAATAACTGCCTTTTAACTCAATTGAAAAATCACTTAAGTGACTAAAGATTTACAAAAAACATACTTTACCATGAAAATAAAGATAAAATTTTGCCTACTAAATTAATATCGAGTGTGACCACAGAAAATGTTGTTTTCGTTAACTTGCTTACTCAGATGCATTGTTACAGCTTATGTCCAGATGTCCCCCCAAAGCCTTAAGCAGTTTAAAATGGGAGTTTTCAGAGGCAGCTGAATCTAGACTGTGTAATTGGTTAATAGTGCAATTGTGGGATTCAGAGTGGGTGACTGCTGGATCAGTCCACTGACTGGATCAGCACCACCATAATCCCAGTAGACTGGATCCACTATAAGGGACAAAAAGTGTCATTCTCTCTTGCTGCTTTTGCTGTCTTCCACTGCCATAAACAGTTGCCCTTCTGCCATGTGTCACTTTGTTGTGGAGTCAGTTGATTACGTTCAGAAACCTCCACGTAGTCCACAAACTATGAGCTTTTTTCCTTTTAACTTTGGGTGTTGAGTATTTTGTCTGAGCAATAAGAGAAAAATAACTAAGACACACATTGACTACCTTTTAATCCTCTAGCACCTGGACGTCCAGGAGTACCCATTAATCCAGGAACACCATCACTTCCTGGGAAACCCGGAAGTCCTCGGGGACCTTCTGGGCCCATGGGACCAGGTGGTCCAGGAACACCAGGGGGGCCACGTTGCAGCTGGCAGTGAGCACAACTTTGAGTTCTCTCACTCTGAAGGAAGACTGGTAGCTGGGCTTAAAAACAGAAAACCCATTCTTTATGGTTCAGTGGAAGATTAAGTCAACAATATGTCTCATTACTTTTTAAATATACAGGAAAACAATCTATGATCACTGGATATATGCGTATTTCTTAGCCAATAATTTTATTTCTAGTCATATACAAAATAGTTATTGCTCTATGCAATAGTTTTGTTACAGCAATTACTTGGAAAAAATAAAAGTGTACCTGAAAATAAATTCATAAAATAAATTATAGAAATTTATATTTATGAATTAAATTGTCAAGATTCTATTACAAAAATTTAATTAATTAATAATTAATTTATAAAAATGTTTATTCCAAAACCAGAGAATGACTATAAATGTTTATTTTGTTCTGACATGTCCTCTATGCTTTCTACCAAGAATTGGCATTACTTTTATATTTTGAAAAGGTTATGAAGAGCTCTATGGTTGATACTTACTTCTTAGTACATCAGTACAAACTTGCCGAATAAATTGTTCAGAAAATTCTCTGCCCTGCATCAAATTATGAGGAGTTATTATGTGTAGAAACAGAGCAAAAAGCAAGTGCAATATAAAAATGGTGAAAAAATCAGAGTACATACGGGCTTCCCATCCAGACCTGGAGGTCCCTGGGGACCTGCTGCCCCAGGCAGTCCCTGGGGACCAGCAGGCCCTGTGATTCCATCCATCCCAGATTCTCCTTTTGGTCCAGGGGCACCGCTAATACCAGGTTCTCCTTTTTCACCTTTCTAAAGCCAGAATATATCTTTACAGATTCTATTTAAGCATTTTAGAAGGTTTAATTGTATCATATAAGTCTTTATGAATAAAAATATATACATATGTGTATACAAGTTACATAGGAATAAATGAGAATTCCCACCACGGCCCCAGAAGGAGCTTTCCTGCAATCTAAACTGTAGTTACCAGCTTCCCCTTCCAGCCAGCCGTGAGCACATCTACCACTGACCCGGATTGTTGCAAAAGCCACCAGTCAGTGCTTCAAAAACCCTGCTGACATACACCTGTCTGCAAGGGGCTGTGTGCCTGTGGGACACACACACAACGACCCTGAAAACATTCTTTATTGAAAAATATGCAGATAAGTGCAACTCCCAGTAGAGCAGAGCCATAATGCTAGCAAATATCTAATTCATACTCAGTTAAATGTAAATACGCTGGTTAGGGGCTGGGGATTTAGCTCAGCGGCATAAGCGCCTGCCTTGCAAGCAGGCAGTTGTGAGTTAGATCCCTGGCACCGATAAAAATGACAAAAAAAAAAAAAAATCACTAGTTAGTATCACAGACATTCACTAAGTAGTAACTCCTCCTGAAGAACAGGAAAGATATCTTCTATTTAAAACAACAACAGCCACATTTTCAGAGTACTAAAAACCAATCTAGCAGGGCTGGGTGAAGGGAGAGTCACATAGGAAGAAACATACCTCTCCTTTTGCACCTTGATGGCCTTGAATTCCCTTTGAAACATAGGAGGAAAAATATAATAAATATTCAAGTATAGTATTAATAATGTGGCAAGAAACTTTTAGCACATATGTACCTTTAATTCAAATTCTAGTTTCTGGTTTAGTAGTTATTGATGGAGCTTGAAAGAAAATATTCATATAAGAAATCTTTTTTGGTATTTTAAAGAAGGCTAATGTCAAGATGTCATGGTGTCCAAGTAATATTTTAATTTGTGTAACCGTCTCATTGTCAAATACAATTTTTCTATGTTGCAGGTCAAATCATGTAGATTAATATGATAATACTGGATTTAAAATATATTACTCTTAAGGAAAATGAAAAAGTAAGACTAAGTGTAAGGTATATTTACTTTTCTATTCTTTGATTAAAACAAGCAGTCCTATTGTCCTGATTTCATGAACCTAAATTAAATTTTAATTGCATACTATTTATAAAGGATAATGTAAAGACAACAGTAAAAGTGATTAACTAGAGAAATATGTCTATTGTTCCTGTAAACAAATCATTACTGTAATTAAGAGATTAGAGAAGTACTATTATGTAAAATATGACATTTCTCCCCAAACATTAGGGAGCCCATATATGAAACTATTCATTATTTTAATTGCTAGATACAACTAGCTGAATCAGTGAAAATTTTTCTCTCTAATCTGTTATCTATTTTTCTCTACTTCTTGTGCTCAATTTAAAGATGTATTTACAAGGACCATCAAGAAAGAAATTATACTTTAGTATGTTTGAAATTTATTGCACACTTAGGCTCTAAAAATCACCCAACAGCAGTCTAGGAAACACATACATACAGGTAGTGTTTCATAATTCAATGTTAAAATTAAAAACTGGTGTTAAACAATTAAACACAAAGCTTAATAAATAACATTTCACACGATTGTGTTCGAGTTGGGGTATATCTTTTTACTTTTAGGTCCCTTATATATGGATATCCAAACTAAGCAAAGGAAAGGAATAATTAGGAAAAAAACTGTCAAAATGTAGATTCTCATATTAAAACATAAGCATAAATATACCAAATATTTCATTTTCATATAAAAATCTATTATAGGTTGAGTATCTCTAATCTGAAAATTGGAAATCTGAAGTATTCCAAAGCCTGAAACTTTTTCAATGCTAACATGAGGACATAAAAGGAAAATTCCCCATCTGATCCTATGTGTAAAAGTTTGTTCTATGAACAAATTTACTTAAAATATTTTATACAGTTACTTCCCTTTAAAAGGTAAATTACTTCCATGTAATGCCTTCAGTTTTGTATCTGTGTTTAAAATGTAATTGAATTCCATGCTTATACTTGAGTCTTATTCCAAGAGATAGAGATATAGACATATACAAATACATATTCACATACAATTACATATACGCAAATATTCCAACTTTTTAAAAACTGTGAAATCAGAAACATACTTGGTTCCAAGAATTTCAATTAAGGGATACTCAACCAGTTTGAGTAACACACTCTCAGTCAGGTGATTCCTAAATATCAAAGTTTATTTCTGAAGAAATGCAAAGATGATTCCTACCAGGCATAAACCTATACCTGGAACAAATGCCAGAAGAATGATAATATAGCTCTCAGAATGAGAAATGAATTAGAACTGAAACAAGAAACGTCTGTCATTTGAGGATCCACTAAGATGATTTCCTGAGAGACATTCACTTAGATTAAATTCACAAAATGAAGGCTGAGAAAATATGCCTTTAGCATAGCCCATGAGCTCAGACAGGCAGGCTGGGAAGCTGCCGCACATGAAGAGTCTGCTCAGCAGCTGCAATCCTACTGTGATCTGACCCTGGGTGCTCCACTGAGGTTCAGGTGCTGACTATGGGAAGGGTGGCTTTCAACAAAGCCAAGGCAGAAGCTTTTCAAGGAACCCAAATCTACCTTAGGAAAGTAGGATGTTTTCTTGAAAAGTGAGAAAAACAAAAATCTACTTTGGAAGAAGAGTCATACTGAGGCTAGGGAGCTTGCTAAGTCTGAGATCAAATTCAGAGCACATGTGCTTGCAGAGAATTACGGTTACAACAGTTTGGTGAAAGGTCTGAGTCCTAGAGACTGAACAGAAAGTGGGTGGAGGTCCCATAAGAATAGCTATTTAAATATATCATGTGGCTAATTCAAGAAAATGGAGAGAATCATTTTGTCTTTCCAAGGAGAGGTATAGGACACAGGTGGTTGTGTCCCCAGTTGAGTTTAAATCAAGTAGAAGACTACAAAATTCAAAAGACATTTTTCATTGAACATGATTCACAGTCAAATTCAATTCATTTTGTCTTTCTCAATAATGTTTGCTCCTCTTGTCAGCTTTTGAATTCTCAATTCCTTACTATCTGCCATTCTACATCATGAACAACCCTTGGGGCACAGGCTTTCAAATGCTCTGCCCTTGGTTGTCAGACAGTCTTCCATGATAGCATCTTCCCTGGAGACTGCGGCCCCGTTTCACCCCAAGGTGGGGTATTGTTCAATCTTTCCCACCCACACTCAGAGCAAGAAGCCAACACTGGGGAGGATCCTCATGGACAGCTCACCGGCCTTTCCAGCCCAGACCAACCTGAACTGAGCTCAATACTCTGAAGCTCTGTGCCTTTGGCTTGGACCAGACTTCAGTGCTGCATGGCAGTCTCTCTAGGACATTGTTGCACAGGAGAGTTTAGTCAGGGGAGAAGCAAAGCAACTGATTGTGTGTGGGTCACACAGCACAGTGTCTCAGGACAGCATTTCCAGTCCCTCTCTCCAGTAGGAAATGGCATCTTTGCATAAACTACAGGGAAACAAGTACTCTCCTTCACTGCATTGACCCTAGCTACTCACATTTCAGGGCAAAAATCAAGATCGAGCAGATCTGAAGATATGCTGCTGGCTGCCTCTGATCAGCAGCTACTCTAAGAAATAGGCAGGGATTTCTACGTCACTTCCTGGGTCAGAAGAAAACACTGAAAAGCAAACTTCAGAGCCACCAATGTTCTCAGTGTTGGAAAATGAAGTATAAAAAAGAAAACTATTATTACTTCCACCTCCTAGCATTTCCATCTTAGTATGCTTAAAATAAGTGGAAAACGTCCCCTTTCCTCCATATATTTTTATTTAAAAGTAACCAGTGTCAGAATGGTCCAATTCAATGAATAAATTATTATTTCACTATTTTTTAATCAAAGGAAAAATAAAAATACCTGCTGCCCTGGAATTCCTTGTCTTCCAGTTTCTCCTTTTTGACCCTTTAAAATTTAATAGACATAACTGGTTAGTCTATACACATATACTACAATCCACAATATAAATTACATATTACCCTGAAGTCTCCTATAAGTATTACAAAAGGAGTGATGTAAATATGTAAATGAAATGAGAAAGATAGCCACTCAGAGAAGTCAACCTCATCTTATAGTTAAGCAGAGACAAATAACAAACTTCTAACTTCTGGGGGAACATGTAATTTTAGATAATATCTGCCTCGATATAAATAGCATAAAATTGTTTTGAGATCCAATAGGTGTGGACAATTTAAAAGTCTCAATGATATAAATTATGTTCAGTATTGAATTTTTACATTTGCCTTTTAAAATTAAAAAATACTATTAGGAAGAAAATATTCAAGTGATGATCTTTAAATCAGGACACTGAGAAAAGTATCATTGTTGCTTTCAAGTTACTTATTCTATGATGGAATAGTGTCAGGTAGTTTCATGGCATAAGATAAAACATCCGGCTGAATACTTCTGGAACACAGGAAGGGGTGTCTGACTCAGAGGGCAAAAAATACAACAGCCTTCAGCATGGTGTGAAGGCTCATAAGCACTGGCCACTGAGAGAAAGGCGAGGTCAGTGTGCCAGGTAGCTTGGGCAGGCATAGGCTAGCGACTCCTGTTGGCCAAAGCAGCTGAACAAGGGCAGAAAATGGTGTGCAGACTGGGAGGAAATAATGCTAAAGAACAGTCAGTCAGTCAAGCTGGCAGACACTCTGTGATTTGGAATATCCCGACATGATGAGCCCCACAAAAGGATCCCTAGGTAGATGCATGGCTGAACCATTACATGTCGGCAAAAGTGTAGGAGAGAGTAGGCTGGTCTCAAGAAGGTCGGTCAGGAAAATATTACATGAAATTAGAGAAATGATGGAGTCAGTGAGGAGAGTGGGAGCCAAGACCATGGGATATTTAAGACTGACAAAATGACTGACTGAAGGAGAAGAAAGGTACCTGGTTTCAGGGTGAGTTCTAACATGGAGGGAAGACAGCACCTAATCACTGCGATAAAGGAGGTGTGAGTAGGAAGCGGATTTGGGGAGAAGACGAAAGATTGATCTGGGCATGAGGAATCTGAGTAAATTTGAAGCATCCAAATGTAATAGCCAGATGGGCATTGGAACACATGGACATGGAGCTCATAAACACTCAAAATTTCCTTTGCTCCTCAATTCAGGATGCACTTAAAGTAACTGTACTATAATTCTACTTGAAGATTTTAAGTAAAAAATGTCTGATACACAACCGAATTTTGTCATACCACTCTAAAAGTTTTTATATATATATTTTAAGGAATAAATTCATGAGGTGAGACTGTTGAGACTATAAACTTAGCAGATTTTTCACTATTATTACTTCAATTTTAAATTATTCCCATATATACAAGATTTTATATTCATGAAATATTTCAAAGTGTTTGTCTTTGAAGTTTATCCTAAGTAGTAAAGCTCAGCCAGTATAACAGAGCTTTGTAATCCTGAAACCATTATTAAAATACTGTCTAAAAACTGTATTTGTAATTTATTGTTGGAAAACTTTGTAATTTTAAAACTTGTAAGATTGAAAGACCAACAGATGCAATTTATTAGTTTTCATTTAATTTAGTAATATTTTCAGAAAACTTAAAGCTTAAAGCTAGGTAAATATATAGTTGACTCAAATCATGATTTCCTGTCCATGTGTCAGCAATCAGTTAAAGAAAAAAAGCCATCCTATAGTTGCTTAAATTAATTTTGGTGAAACAATGTTTGTCATCCAAAGCAGCAGCATGGTTCTCTTGGCCTTCATTGCTAAGACAACCAAAACTCAATGTCTTTCAAAATCATTCTAGAGTTTCCTCAGCATAATACAATTCTGCAGTGTAATTCTTCCCCTATGTAATAGATTGAATATGCTTTATATTTGGTATTAATGGTTTCTTATCAACTTTTTGCTAATGATATTTCAAGTCATGGTTGTAAATTCATGAAATACATGCACTACAAATATATAGCTAGATAAGAAAAATATGCAATAAAATTAATATCTTTACTTTGCTGAACCATTTAAATCTCAAGTTTTCTATGAAATACATGCACTACAAATATATAGCTAGATAAGAAAAATATGCAATAAAATTAATATCTTTACTTTGCTGAACCATTTAAATCTCAAGTTTTCTATGACAATAAAATGGTAAAGAACTTTCAAGTCAGATCAGGTACTGTCTAAAAACTCACTAGCCAAAATAGAAAGATATGATTTAACAATAGTGTTGACCATGGAATAAGAAGAAATTGGAAAATATATATAAGAATTTTTTTAAAAAGCCCTTATTTTGTTGCTATGCCAAAACAAAAACAACAAATATAACATACCTGAATACCTTTTTCCCCTTGATTTCCTTTGTCCCCCTAAGGGAAAAAAAAACAGTAAATGTGTATCACGATATAGTGTATTCAGTATCCCTTCAAATAAGTATGCTTTTCCTCAGCAAAGAATGTATGTAATGATGCTATGCAATTTTCACATATATATTATATACATATATAATATAATATATATTATATATAACATATATTTCACATATGTATTATATACATATATATTATATACATACATATATAAGCGGCATTCTAATATAGTATTTGGGCAGATAGTAGAAGCATATGGTGCCATAAGGCCATTCTAAAACAGCTACTATCTGATCCTACTTTCTATTTCAAAGTGCCCAATATTTAGGAAAGATTAGAGCAGAATTAAGATCTAGTGGTCCCATTTGAGATGCCTGATGTCTGGAGACCAAAGCTAAGGGAACTAACAATGCTAAAATGATATCCAGTGTTTCACCCTTTCCCTCCAACGTCATCAGGATATAACAGGACTCCTCTGAATGGGTCGTACAACGTCACTGAGTCATTCAGGGGGACTTTAGGACCCCAGAGTCAATTGTTTCAGCTTGTGTCTAGATGCGCCCCCCCCAATCTCATGCAGTCATGAATGGGTTTTTTTCATATCTGCAGTGTGTGACCCTGGAATTGATTCACAATGCAACATACCACCTAAGGGCACTAGGATTAATGGGGTGAGTGTTATCTGTCCTAGCATCCTGGATAAGAGAGAAGGAGCAAAAACACATTATTAAAGTCCATTGCTTGCTTCCTATCACCTGTCTGCTTGCCATGAGCTGGTTCTCCTCTGTAATGACCTTCTACCATGTGCCATCCTGACTTGCAGCCAGCTGATTATAGAGTGAAACATCTGCAAAATGTCAGTTAATAAACCTTTCCTCCTTTAACTTTGGTTTTGGGTATTTTGGCTCAGCAGCGAAACATACTTCAGACATTGATCTATGTACATTTTGCAAAAAGGAGGCCACTAAACTAGATGGGGTTGTTCTGTCCTTTCAAGGAAAGCCATGGGGTCAAGCAAGACCATGAACCATCCTGGCAAATGGTACAGCTGGGGGAAGAAAAACTAGAGGAGCTAAAAGCTCCTCGCATGTCCCACATGTGACCCCCAAAGAGCCCTAACTACTCTTGACAGATATAGATAAATGATACACAGACAGATAAATAGATCGATCATAGATAGACTAATTCTGATTAATTAAGGTCTGACTTTGACTCATCTTAAACATTCAATAGGAAAGTTCAACCAAAACATAGTAACTAATAGTAATAGGAAAACAGAGGAAACTGTACTTAACATAAAATGGGGATTCAAACACTCCACTGGCTCTACTACTGACTCTAGATGCAGTTATAACATCTTACTACACAGGCATAAGAAGTCATGATTCCCATTCCTACTAGCTCTTCCAAAAATATGTTTTTCAGTCTCTCTCATTGTATTGAGATCAAGTTATTACTGTGGTGGTTATCTGTTATCTAATCCAGACTTCATATAATGATGTGAAGCTGGGCAGTACAAAAGGTTTTCAACTCAGAAGGCTGAAGTAGGAGGATCACTGCAAGTTCATGACCTGCCTAAGCTCCAAGGTGACCTCAAGGCCAGCCTAAACTGCATAGCAAGACCCTGGCACAAAAAATTAAAAAAAAAAATGGTTTTCAAAGTCTACAAAACAGAAACCAAATCTCAGGTTTTAGTAACAACTCTGTAAGAAGAACTTTAATAACCCATTGATCACATAGAAACATAAACATCTTAATTTAATGTAGTCCTAGAATATTGACATGATCAAAAGAGGATCAAATTGGATTTCTTATGAATAAAATAGGGAAGAGTCTTAACCTTTACCTATTCTCCTTGGGTAAAGACTTCAGAAGTTAATAAAGGTTACTTTTAAAGATAAAAGTCTTCTGTCAAATGCTGTATAATTTTGTCTGATTTTTACCACTTTGAGGAACCACTATTTGCAATATTCTACTTTTAATTTTTGATCCCTGCTGATTTAACATGGTTATAAATTGAAGCTTCAGCATCAATGACAATGCTCAGGTTCTAGCCCTGTTTTCCATCCTATCAAAGGAGGATGATTCCTCAAACAATTTCCATCAGTTGGAGTGAGCCATCTGACCCCTGGCTTTCACAGTGCCAGCCCCTCCCCAGCCCCTGCAGCCTGAAACAAGAGTCAGCACTGGCCCCACCTTCCCTTAAAACAAAATATCACGGTCTTGGAGGGTGTGGGGTAGGATAGAAGAAATAAGCATAGGTAGGAAAGGGACAAAGAAAATGATGATTTATAAATGGTACTTTTAAGAAGACTTCCACTTTAGGTCACAAAGTAAACCAAAGTCATGCACTCTACGTTCCATTGCATTGTTTATGCTTCATGTTTCCCAGGCCTGCCACCCCCCAAATACCTTCAGTAGATCAATGAATTAGCTTAGTTGAATAAAGTGAAAGGCAGAAAACTGACCTTAAAATAGATTCAAAAGTTTCAAAAACTGTTTTCTAGGCAAATCATCTTAGATCACCTATTTTAAAGAAACAAATCAACAAAAAGACAACCAGACAGACAGACAATAGACTGGGCCCCGAGTTTTCTCCTGTAAAATGAGCCATTTTCTTTCTACCTGTGGCTGAGCCACTGCTTTTTTCCTGTAAACTAAGGCAAAACTTTTTGTACATTCACAAATTCTAGATTCCCACTACCAAAAATGCATAAATCTCCCCAGCTCCGGATTACAGTGCATCTCTCTCTTGAGGACTCAACTCCATTTTCCTTGAGGGTCTGCTTTTAATTTCACCTCGTAAATCCCATTATGCCCTTTTGAAAACAGGACAATCAATGTGCTCCTACATTGGAAAGCAAATTCCCCACAATCTCTATGTTACCAAGAACAGTTCTCTGTACTGTTCACCACTGAGGATAAATAAAGTAACAAAACAGGGATCCTTTGGACAAACACTGTTTTATATAATCAAACTGAGAATCTTCCATTAAGCTAATAGTGGCCACAAGTTTATAGGAAACAATGGCAAAGTACAATGCAATGGTGTTTACATGGTATTTTAGAGAACATATGCTTAACAATGGGCTTTTGAAGGAAAATTTGTGTCCCATAATAATGTTTCATAGGGTTTCTCAATGAGAAGAGAAATAAGAGACCTATTGCTGCAATTCCCCCATTTTTATAGATAAGAAGCTGCTGATAGGAAAGTAAGCACTTGCTCAAAGTTGGAACCTGGACCCATTTCCACACTTTCTTTCTTTCCCACCGTGCCGTTTAATAAGAGTAAAATTTCATGTTTATATCAAACTGCTTTTAAATGGTAAGCTTTTGACTATGAAAATTCTTAGTTCCAATCCTATCCTTACCGTAGATTTCCCTCACATTCACCAAGACTAACATTTAATCGCGGTCTGCCATCAGGAAGCACCCAGAGCACGGGACTCCCACCCAAAGGGGACACAAAGAGCAAAATAAAAGATGGTAGGCACAGGTGGGCAGATCTTTTGCAAAACGGAAGGGACCAATATGTGGAGGGAGGGCGAGGGAGAAGAGGGTAAAAAGCAGAGTCAAAAGGGTTCTTCCTTCTCCCCAGCTCCCCACCCTGCAAACACAGGCTAGTAATAAGGAGATTTTAAAAAAGCGTCACCCTGTGCAGAGGGCATGTGGATAACATATGGGGGACAGAAAAGTGAGACCATAGAAAACTAAGACAGCAAGGAAAACTCGGATGGAGCTGTAACAGTTTCTACTACAGTGTTTATGAAATGTCATAGACTCCTTTAGTAAAAAGACAGCGTTTGTTTCTAAATTCTTTTAAATAACTAATAGTATCTATAAAGGTACGACTCCATGTTCCTTTACTCAATCAAAACGAGGTTCCGTGTGGTACCCAGACCTACTGTCATAACTAATAGCTTTAAATGAGCATACACACTTTGTATTTTAAACTGCTTATATTAATTTTCCGTGAACTCCTATAAAATATAATTGTCTCATAAATAGGAACTCCATGTTCAAAAATTCTGAGTGTAATTTTTCTTGGTTCAGAATTGTGTCCCAGTTTTGGTAACATGTTGTTTTAGTATTTTTGTAAGACTTCCTGACACTGAATAAAAACAAATCTTGGTTCATTTGAACTGCCTTCAAAATAATTGAGTTTACAAGATATCACTACTGGATATTTATATATTCTCCAATCTGCACTCATGTTTCTTCCGAGGTCTTCCTAGGAGACACTTCCTACACAAAGATACAAAAGATTCCAGAGCCACCATCACAGTGCTGAACACAGTACACGTTCATTCCTGGAGCGCAGAAGGTAGCAATCACTGTGAATATCACAGCTGCTAGGGTGCTAATTCCACAAGAGGGAAACACAGGCTCATGGCTGATTCAAGCGACACCTGAGCAGTGCATACCTTCTTCCCGTGAGTCCCGGGGAGGCCAGCGTACCCCGCTTCTCCTGGAAGACCCCTGGCTCCTGGATCTCCCTGGGGAACACAGAGACGCTGAAGAGATCAGGGACCTACTACGGATGTTCTTTACATAATATCTCAGATTTAAAAAACATGGTTACAATTTGGTTGGCATTTAGAGTTACAACCATTAAAAATTATAGAGTGAAAAATTTATTAGAATCCTTATAAAATTTTTCTGTATTTCCCCATTTTTCCAGTTGAAAAGTTCTAACAGCGTTTATATTTTAAATTTTTATAAGTATGTGGTATACTATACTTTATAACAAGTAAAATAAACAAATGCTTAGTTAAATAATGAAAGTATTCCTTGTTTGTTTGCTAACATTTTCTTCTCTCCTCAAAATTGCTTTTTTTCACACTGGTCCCTTAAAAAGCCTTTGTTGCAAAACTGATAAATACAAGTAATAAAAATTATTGAAAGTCTCATTATTTATTATTATTTTATTATATGTTTTCTAACTCAAATACCCATATACAATTTCATCAGTAAAATGTACTCTGTATATAATGGCTTTTAATCTTATAAAGTTCATTATGTGGCATTATGTATGTTTTCACAACTTGATTTTTAAATACAGAAAAATATACAACTGTTCTGATTTATTATTATTATTATTATTATCATCATCGAAAGAGGGATTCACTGTGCAGTTCAGGCTGGCTTTGCTCTCGCTCTGGAGCCCAGGCTGGCCTTGAACTCTCAGCAATCCTCTTGCCTCAGTCTCCCAAGTGCTGTGATTATTGGTGTGTATCACCATGCCAGGTCTGATTTATTATATTTTACTAGTTAAAATTCTCACTGTTTTACTTAACAAATCTCAGTTATTTTCACAATAATGTGGGCATGCATTTCCTTGTACTTATTTTTATCTAGGTTCATATTTTACTTTTTATAAATATGGGATATTATTGCCTTACAAATAAATTGTGTCAAATAAATTCTTGCTGTTTTTTAGTGCCGAGAATATTACATGAACACTATTAATTCATTTTATATTAACTCCATTTCCCTACTCTCATTTATCCTGTAAGAATTTTCTTGTCCAGAGGAAAAAAGGTTTTTAAAAAGTATTGACAGCATTTTGGATTACACAGAATATGTATGTATAGTGTTGTTAATATGCTCCTAGAGAGAAAACATTCTAGAGAATATATTTATACTGCTGTACATCCTTCATCAGTTCTAGAAAACTCGAGGCAGGGAATACGTCGTAGCTTTATTCCTCAGTGACATAATATCTAAAAACAAAAAAAGGAACCCTAAATTGACCATTTCCTTTCATTTACCTTAGTTTTTGTACACATAATCTGTAATTTCATTTACTTTTTTCTTACAAGGCACAAAATGATAATTTTCTTAAGGAATGTAGGAGCATATGTTGTAATTCTCTGACAGTGTTTCTAACACACTCAACCACTCTTACCTTGAGTCCAGAAGCCCCAGGGAGCCCCTGAAGTCCAGGTTCACCTTTGCTGCCCTGCCAATATACCAAAATCACGTGAATCAGTAAAAATTAATTACTATATGCTTGATGCAGGCACTTAGCGGAATCATTTTAAATAACACATTTTCACCTTTCCAATTGCCTGAGTGTTAAGCCTCCATACCTCAAAACTACTTATTAAGAAAACTGTTAAGCAAAAAACTGAGTTTGCACACTGATAAACTCTCTAAAATTAAGTACTAGAGGTGGTGGCTCCCAGTAAAAGGGAAGAGGTCAGAATCTGTAGGGATGGCAGCAGCTAGCTCAGTCCCACTCTGCATGGGCAGCAGTCATCCACTTCACAGCATCTTGTGGGCTCAAGGTCCTCGCCCCTGCTCTGTCTCTCTTTCTCACTAAGACCCACCTTTGGTATGTAATTTAAAAAATGAGCTTCATACAGTGGCTTTTTTAAAGCAAGATGAATCATAAAATGTTTAGCGTGTACTGTTTTTGAGTGCTCTTTAACAGACAGAAATATGAAAAGTAATACCAAATTGATAGAATAAACAGAAAATGAGTCAATAAAAATCAGAGATATGCTAATACAGAGCTCAATTAATTAAGATCTATGGGCTAAATACAGACTTACACATTTTTGAAATAAAATTTTGCCAGAATAGAACCATATCCCATACCCACTCATTACATGTTGTCCATGGATATTTGCAAATGATAAGACTGAGTAATAAAAATATTACTATATTTACAACATCTGCGAAAGTACAAATACTGGCAAAACGGCCTTTAACACTTTGCCCCCAAAAGCTGATGCAATCTAAGGCTACATTTTCAAGAATTAGGACATTTAGAAATTCAAGGTAGAGATACTGTGATGTATAGCTTATACCAAACGACCTTGAGAAGGTAAGGAGAACATCTTCTTGGCAAGAACAGCTTTCCAAGGTTTTGTACCAACTCTGCACGCCCCTTGCCACTAGGACTCACGTGATCCAGAGCATTCAGGGGCATCTACTGCCAATGAAACAGCCCCGACCTTTCTCAAATCATCGGGCTCTCATGACACTGTGTAATATTTTTCCCCTAATATTTTAGAAATTAAAACTTGAATAGATTAACCCAAATATTCATCTTGTGTGTTCTGTGAAGGCTGAAGGAATCTGCAACGAAACCCTATCATTTCCTTTTGGAAGGTGAGCCTAAAATCTACCTCCTGAAGAGTCTGGAATAGTTTCCTGAGTTTAGCCAGGTTTATTCTCTGCCTTATATACAGAATTCTTTTTAGAACTTTCACAGATGTTGTAAAAAGCAAAGTCAACCTACACTGAGTTTATAAAACTGTCAGGGATACGGTGAAACAACAATTGGTAAAGTGATCCACAAACTGAAGTAGGAGAGTAAGTCCCTTAGTGCACAATTCTATACACCTGCAGGATTCACTTTCATCTTAAGGATGTCTTAACCTGATAACATAATTATTCAGCTTCTCTTACTTTTATTTAAGTCTAGAAGTAAATATAACATATTTTCCACAGGGAATAGGTAAAGTTTAATGATGTTTATTACAAGGCATTTTGCAAAGAATATTCACACATGGCCCACTTATTAAAAACATCAAACAGACAGGAAAATAGTATCATCTAACTACAGATGCTCAGGCACCATGTACCCCAGAGAGCGCGATGTGTTCTCGGGTGACCCCTGAAACACCAAGAAAGGAGGGAGACTAACCAAAGAGAAATTATGGACTTCTTTCTTGCTTAAACCTGATTCACTTTATTTTAGCCTGTTTCATATGCTGAGCATTTCATATGATTACATTATTACCGAAGACTGAAATTGTCGTTGAAATTGTAAAAGGCCCCTGTGGCTGTGGAAGTTCTGTCTTTCCACTTCATCATATTTACCTTTTATTGTATTTACCTTAGCTCCAGGAGGGCCTGGCTGGCCTGGTGTGCCGTGGCTTCCCATCAAACCCTGCAAGTTCAAGTGGGGATTTCAGGAGTAATTGATAGAAGATACAAAAACACCGAATCTGCAGTGCCACCTCAATTTGCAAGTGTAATGTGTTCTATGATCTGGGGGCAGAGGCTGCATTTGTGTTCGCGGGAGGAAGAGCGCTTTGGCGTGTCTATCATCTAATGAGGGTTTGTGAAAGGAAGCAAAACTTAGCCAAATGAATTATTTGTGAACAGAAGCATTAGTGAATCAAGGTATTAGTGTATTTCCAAGATAAATTTTCTTCTAATAATTAATGAATTGACTAATAATCACATTTGGGAAATTTCCCCACATAATTCTAACAAAGAAAAATAAAGGAATCAAATTATGCAAGATAGAATGGTGGTTACCAGAGCCCTTACAATTCTGTTGCTCAGAAAGAACAGACAAACAAACAAACAAACAAAAAAAAAAAAAAAACCGAGAAAACAGCAAAAGAAAACACTGTAAAAGATGGATTTGTAAAGAAAATTATACTTTCCAAATTCTTACTAGTTTTGCTGTGAGGGCTAAGAAGTAGTTTTATTCATATATACTACTTCAGTCAGCATCACTTACAATCTCTATTATCTTCAGAAATACTTTGAGTTATAATAAATTATGTAATTATAATAATTTATCCCCAAGTTATAATATAGTCATATCTTTAACTGACTATATGATTCAAAGGGTAGCCAATCTAGCAATTTGGACCTGGTTTAATTTATATCCCATTATAACTAACATAAAACTTTTATGTATTAAATATCTAAATATTATAGTATGTTATATTCATATCTTCTTTAATATTATGTAAGGATTCTCTCTCTTTATATATATATATATATATATATATACACGCATATACATAATATAATATTTTGTTAATACCTAACAAAAGAAATGTGATATACAAAAAGAAATTCAGAATACAATACATAATGCCAGAAAACATAGTTTCAATATGGCCAAATTTGGGCTGGGGATTTAGCTCATTGGCATAAGCGCCTGCCTTGCAAGCATGTGGTGGTTGAGTTCAATCCCCAGTACCCCCCCAAAAAAAGTCCATAATTAATGTAGCATGTCACCACTACAATGCTCTGCTATTAACTTAGCACAGTACTGCAATAATAACATGTGAAATACACTAGTTCACAGCAAGTAGATTTAACATGTTAAGTGTAAATATTGTTAAGGTACAATAAATTGTCACCAATAACTTTCATTACTTGAGACAAAGTTAGATGTTTATAAGCAAATTTAATTAATTAACTCATAAATAATTTTTAGTGATTACTAAATACAGGAAGAGTATTCTGTTTTGAAGTTTAAAGGGGAAAAAAATCTTTTCAGTGTCCTCAGTCTTAAATTCATACTAATGGACACTTTGCTTATATACCCTTGGATGCAAAATTTATGAAATACTTCACTAAGCTCTAGGTAAAACATCTATTTACATAATGAAATGAGCAATAAATTTTCACATATGAAAACCATGGTGGCAGTTTAATTCACATATTTAAGTCAATATCACTTCTGGCAATAAACAAATCATTTTTGGAATCTTGCACATGTATGATTTGATTTTACATAATTTTTAATAACAAACATGTCTCTTTTACCCCTAAAAAACTCATTCACTGGTTTAGAATTTTTATTCTTCCTCATATAAACTTGTTTTTCTTCTTAAGTATAAGTTGTAAATATTCTACAAGTTAAAAAATACTCATCAAGTTTTATACTATTTCAGTGTGCTTTGCAATCTTTTTATTTATTTAATGGGCTCTAACTTTTGAATGGCCAAATTTTGAGAGTCTGAGGAAATCCTCACCACTTTAGAAAAAAATGGAAATAAATATAATATTTTAAATACAAATGGATGGAATTTGTGTAGTTCAAAAATCTCACTGCTATATCTTGTGCAATTTTGTGAGCTCCACAATACAAACTTCTTGTATGTAGCAACACTGCAAACAGTCTCATGATAATGACTTTAACATACTGGCATTCCTGGGGCTCCTTTTTTTCCTACAGGTCCTGGAGGCCCAATTTCTCCCTAAAAATAAAACACATATGAAATTATCAATTCATTCTCAAAATTATTGTACCCAAACACTATAGAGTGAAAATTCCATACCAACCCTCCCCAATTTGTCTGCCATCTCTTCTTCCACTCTAAAAAAGAAGTAAAGTAAAACAGAAAATCCAGGGATTTGACACCTAAAACACCTGGAATCCTAAAACAGCCTGCAGAATGCATCACATATTTCCAGTGTGAAACCTGCAGCGATACTGCCATTCACCAGTGGAAGACCTGGTAGCTTGGACCTTTGGTGATGTAACAAGAAAAACAAGTGAAAAACTACGGTAATGATTATAGATTAGCAAATACAAAATTGAAAACTGAGATTTATGATAGGACTTAAGACTATAGCTTCAGGGGTTGTGATTGACTAGGTATTCTAAAGGATACTACATTTAGAACAAAATCCGTTCTAATCCGCTCTTTGTGAATGAGCATTGATTTTCTAAGCAGTAGGACAAATACTCAGTGATGTCCCATTTTAAAAATGTAGATCTGGGTAGGAGCTATATTCTGAGCATTTGGAATTATGCAGAAATCATGTAAACGTAAACATGCAGGGCCCAGGCAGGGATTAGGATGCAAACTTAGCTATTAGAAAACTGGTATCTGGCTAACCATAGGGAGACAGCAGAATTCTTTAATGCCTATGCCAACTCAGAATTGTAAAAGGTGGCTCAAATGATACCTATGGCTGTCACTAATCAGCTATCCCAATAACTAGTTATGCTGAAAACATTCTACAAAATTAAGATGAAGCATTTACTCATAAGAAACAAGAGACAGCAGGCCACAGGACTGAGAGTCAATGACAATAACACATTACAAATAATGGTACTGCTAGAAATACAACTATATATGAGACCTATATATAAGAATTACAGATGAGGCATTTAAAACTTCAAGAAATGCAAGTATGAGGGTTATTAAAACTGAATATATAACAAGAACAAAAAATCCAAAAATGGGTTGTTTAAAACACTAGACGTAACAAAAATGAAATATATATATCAAAATATATAAATATCAACACAGACACAGGGAGGTCTTGAACTCATGATTATCTTGCCTCAGCCTCCTAAGTGCTGAAATTAAAAATATTCTACTGTATACACCTTATTGATATTTTTAAAAATCAACTGATGGCTTAAATATCAGGTTAGAAACAATAAAGGATTACTAGAAGCTATATACTAATAATTTAACCTGAATTAAAGACAAAATCAAAGATATGAAAACATGAAGATGGCATTAAGAGATATAGAGATGGAAATTTCAATAAATAAAATATTCCAAAGGAATAAACTAGAAATAATATGGAGAAAATGGCTTTTTATAGGATAAATAGAAATATTCTACAAAATCAAGAAGTACACTTAATTCTCAGCTAGATGAGTAAAGAGAAATATAAAACTAGATCACTTTTAGTGAACTTAAGAACACCAAAAGCAAATAAAAATACTTTTAAAGAATCCAATAGGAATAAGTGATTTGTAAATGAGAATTAGAATGACAAGGGATTTTTATGGTTAAACAATGAAAGTCACAATACAAAGGAAGGGAACTATCAACGTATTAGAAAATAATTGCCTTAAGTGGCATGCTACAAAGTTCTCTCTTAAAAACGGACTAAAATAAAGAAATTTGTATTTATATAAAAACTGAAAAATGTATGCATTAAAGAAATATTTTAAAATAAGTTCAGGAAGTAAATTATCCTAAAAGGTTTATCCCAGAGTGCAAAAGGGGAAGTAATCAAACATATATATATATATATATATATATATATATATATATCCAAATTAATGTTATCTAAACAAAACAAAAGCAATGAAAACTAACACTTCATGAAGCTATATGCTATTTGAACATGTAACAGTTACTATGGTTGCAAATAACGTGTTCTATATGAAACCAACAATGCACCACCACTTTATTCTTTTAATAAGTATATCCAAGCCCAGAACTTACAGATCTCATTAATACTAACCTTTTGTCCCATTAAACCTTGGTTTCCAGGAAATCCTGGAATTCCCTAAAAAAAAAACGATGTTAATTTAAAAATTATAGACTGTATCATTAAGAAGAATCAGTAGTAACTGAAATTCAATGTGATTTATGAGACTAAATACATGTATAGCCTTGTAAACAATGTGTAATTTTAAATGTTTATCATATATACTACTACATAACACTCCTTTTTACAATAATCCAATTTTGCATATGGTAAATGTATGAGATTCAATGTTATTTGAACATCTACTGATACTTAAAATTTTAGAAATTTAAAAAAACAAAGCCAGGAAGAAGTTAAATCTTGACTCTTTTTTTATGCCAACAAATGAAATAGAAGCATAGTTTGGTGCAGACACCTTGATTTTACTTATAATGAATAGTGCAGGAAGGACTGTCAAATAATATAAATTTAGGTTTAGAGCAGCCGTTCCAAAAGTTCTCACAATATCACAGCTTTAAATAGAAATTAAAGAAGCCAAATGATTTCCTCCAAACTGAACCATGAAACACCTTTCAATCTATATATCTATATAAAAATACGGCAGTCTTTTTCCTAATGATTCCCTGGTGGTGTGATCATGAAGAGTATGCAGACCATACTGTATAGACAAAATTATACACACAAATACAAAAAAGCGGCCTTACACATGGCTCGATCCAAAAGTAAGAGCTTTCTAGCAACATTCAGAGAAAATTAATGCTAATTTTATCAAGTTAGAATAAATTAGCACATTAGTGGGAAAGCATTCCTACTGTCAGCCATTCAGTGCATTTACTCAAATGATCATTCATTAAAACAAACAGTGATGGTACTAACCAATTTTCATTTCTTATTCATTTTTCTTAACTACTTTCACACTCCAGTTGAAATAACTATCAATAATTATTTTTACACATACATACTGTCTCTCTAGCAGAAGAAAGTGTTTGGAAAACAAGCCAATTGGCTCACATGAGCATGTCCTTAAGACTTCTGTATCGACAAAGGCTTCAAAGAGTAGATACTCTTAAATACAATGGGATGTGAGAGAGCTGCCACTATGAAGATTATCTTTTACTAAAGAGCAAGGCTGCCATTATTTTGCTTTTTGACACCGTAAGTTTGTGAACATAAGTTTGGTCAATCTTCACCCAGAGTTATACACTCATAACACAAAGGCATAGTTCTAATTTTAGAATCTAAACTTGGAATTCAGGTTGACGGTACTCAACGAAATTCATTTGCCACAGCCTTAGCAAAGAGCAAAATTTGTGTCTGAGCAATTTCCATCAACATAATCTAACTGAAAAGAAAAACCTTAGCAAATATATTAACTAGAGAATATAAAACTATATAAATTAAAAATTCAAACATTAGGAAACAGGGAAGAATACTCAACAAGCTTGCTTAAGCATAAATCATTGTGCTATAAGTGTCAAGAAAATAGATTCAAATTAATTATATCTTGACAGAAAAAACGCACATTTTCAGTGCAAGCAATTGTCATAAACATTATTCAAAATAAAGACATGATTTAAACATTGTTCAAAATAAAGCCATCCCTCCCATTCATACACATGCAAATTACATCTGGACATATAAAGTCACCATAAGTGTAGACTAAGTTTTGAACTTAATTAAAATGTGCCTGTAAAATATTACCACAAGTAAGGCAATAATATATTGTTCTAGACTGGAAACTCATGCAATTTTGCTAGTGCAATGCCTTTGGCCCCAGGACCATAAAGAAAGCTGAACTTCTCACTGCCTGGAGTCTTTTTTTTTTTTTTGGTGCCGGGATTGGACTCGTGACCTCACATTTGCCAAGCAGGCACCTACACTGCTGAAGTAAACCCCTGGCTCCTGCCTAGAGTCTTTTATTACTTAGGGTTTCCATCAGTTTCCTAGTCTGTAAACTTACACAATTTATGATACTAGTAGGAATAAAATTACAGATAACTCTATTGCTGGTGCTGAACCTCATCTCAGCATCAGTAAATCTACATCCCAGAGTGTAACTGTCATGTTGGAGCATCCATGTACAGTGTCTGACTTCAGCCTCCCCACAGTTCACTACTTGACTTGGCAGCATCTTATTCGAATTATTCTAGTACTAAGTTTGAACCCTATCAGCTCATAACTATAAATCTTAACATCATTTCAACCTTATCATGTATTAAGATTATTATGTAGTAAGGGATATACTAAATTAGAAAAAAAAGATTTCTTTACTTACTATCTGTCCTCTCAAAGTGTCAAAAAGTAATACACAATTCATAAATATCAATATACATCATAATATTTCCTATGCCAAATTATGTTAAAAATTATTACTTATTTTACAAATACCAAGAAAAGGCATATAAGTACTACACAATATTTAAAAATGCAAAACCAATTTAAATAAATAATTCATGGAGAACTAATATAATAAGTAAACAGAATAAAAGACTATTAAATGAAATCATTCATTGCTATATTAATAAAATTTCTCTAGTAATATTTCCCTAGTTTCCCAATACAGGTACTGAAATTGACACAAGTTTGCTGAATCTATGTAAGCATAATTCATATTACCTGAAAGTTACCAGTTTTTGATCCAAAATTATTTAATAACAATTACTTCATAGAACAAATGTTCTTCTGAGAAAACTATTTTCTCTGCTTTTTATTTTATGGAAAAGTGCAAAACAAAATTTCATAAAAAGATGGAAGAATAACAATAGTTAACACATTGCATGTTATTATCTTTAAAGTAGTTACTCAGAGTACAAGCTAGAGGCATAAAAAATTCCTTTCTATCTTGCCTTTCCCTACTCTCACTTCCAAAGGCTTCCATATGCAGAATGACCATAGTGGTGGGGCGGGAGAGCCAACAGTCTAGAACTGCTCTCTGTTCACTGGTTTCTGACCCTTCACATGCTGCTGACTTTGGTTACTGGGTAATACTGCAATAGCTTTTGTCTTTCAAATATATTTCATCACCATTTGCTGAAAATACGATTCTGAGCTTCAAATGCACCTGTATTTCAGTACCAAAATGTTTTTTTCTCCACTCCATCTTTTAATTTCAACACTAAATAACTGCACATTATAAATTATATACAACAGATTAGTGTGCGGCTAGTTAACTATACAGAAAAGTAACTCACTATTACAGTGCCAGACCTAAAAGAAACCAACATACAAGTACTTGCAATAAACCTGAAACAAGGAAATTTATTCCAATGTCTAAGGGGAAAAGTATATTTTAAGAATAGTGGGTGAACTTATTCACCCTGATCCACAGGACAGGACATTCATGGGACTAGACATTAGTTGTCAACACTCATGTTACATACAAAAGAAAATGCTAGCAGTTTGACATTGTAAGTTATAAAAGCCAAGAATATCACAGAAAGAAAAGAATATTTGCCATATGCAAAGTTACTTCCTGTTATTGGCACATCTTCTGCACAGCTAATGGCATTTCAACATATTTTTTTAAATCAAGACGATACCTAAAGAATGATACTATTATGAAAACATTTTTCAGGAGGAGACAGAGACAAATGTTTTGCAAATCAAGTTACACCTGAAAACTCAGAGAAGGATGAAAATAATGCGTCCAGGACAAGATAACACCCAGTCACACACTACCACATTTTGGGACCCTCATGTAAATGCAGCATAGCCAAAAAGGTTTAGAAAAATAACCTCCACTTTATACTAGTGAGCAGACCAAATTCCACATGAAAACTACCAATGAGTTAAAAGGAATGTGTGCATGTCTACAGACAGAAGCTGAAAACTGATGCCAGTTTGAAATATAACATTGCAAAATTATAGCGGAGTTGTCCTGGAATGGACTGTGAGTTCCGGAAAGCCTAGAAAGGGGGCAGCATACTGGTCGGGGTCCACAGATTGGACTGTGTACCTCCAAAGAAACTGCGACAAAGCTCCCTCGAAGACGAAAACTAAAAATGAGATTTTCAAAAAACTTTACTGCTGATCCACTTACTGGAATCACAGCCACACACTGTTTTCCAGACTAATCAGAAAAATGTATTTTTAAAAATCTCATAGCATTAAGATTATTCAAGAAAAGTATTTTTGAAACATCAAATCAAAAAGGAACAAGAATTAGAGTTGGTTCTTTGAAAGTTTAAATAAAATCAACAAACCCATAGCCAATGTTACTTTAAAAAGGAAAGAAAAGACTCATATCTAATACAATTAGGAATGAAAAGAATAAAATCACAATGGACATTGCAGAAATCCAGAAGATCATCTATACCTACTTTGAGAACTTGTATTCTAATAAGATGGAAAATGCAGAAAAAATGGGCAGATTTCTAGATGCATATGAATTACCAAAGCTAAATCAGGAAGATATAAAGATCCTAAATAAGCCAATATCAATCAACAAAGTCAAAGATGTAATTAGAAACCTACCAAGAAAGAAAATCAAGAATGAACTAGTTGATGAAGAATATGAACTAATGAAATAATTTTAATGAATTTATATATTAAAAAGGAAATAAATTTTCAAAATTGTATCTAATTTCATATCTTATGTCTTTCACTTATAACCTATTCTTGTGAACCAGTGTCTCATTAGATAGCCCAGACCCCCCTTGAACTTGCAATCGTCCCGCCTCAGATCTCCCACCATGCTGAAACAACAGATATATACCACCAGGACTATCTCTGTAACACATATACCCTGGAAATTCAACTATGTACTACTACATTTAAATCTTTGCACTATTTTCTGCATAACTGAGGTCATCATGAATTTTGTTGTTTTTGCAATGTATTTTCCATTTCTCCTGAAAAATGAGACGACCAGTATCAATTAAAATATTTAAACTAAATTATATTAGTTTTCTGCTGATTCATAACTAATTGTACTTACAGGCTTAAGGCCACACCTATTTACCATCTTGTGGTTCAGAGCTATGGCCAGTATGCTCACAGACCTAAATTCAGGGCATCAGAAGAGCCATCCTCATTTCTCGAGTCTCTAGGAAAGGTGTATTTCCTGCTCTTTCCAGTTA